TTTGGTCTTTTTGAGACAGGGTCTTCCTGTAGCACCAGCTGGCCTGGAATTCACTATGTAGACTACGCTGACCTTGAACTCACAGAGATCTACCTGCGTCTGCCACCCAGGTGCTGTGACTAAAGGCATGCACCACCATGCCTGCCTTTTTTTAATTTTTAAAGAAATTGTGTCATTTGCAGGAAATGGATGCAATTTGATACAATCATATTGAGAAATTAAATATCTCATAATAGAAAAAAAAATGTGACCCAACTTCATGCAGACTTCTCTTTCTTTCCTAAGACTGTTTTTTTCTTCATAGGACTTGAAACTAAAAAGTATACCCTACAGTTTTTGCTTTGGTAGTTTTCATGAGCAAAGAAATTTGTCTGTCTTGTTCACTAATGTACTCTTAGTGTTTAGTACTCTATAGGAATGTAGTAAATGTTCAATGACTACATTTATTTGTTAAATAAAATAATAAACTCTTTGAAAGCATGATTGCACCTAATTTAAAGATGATGAATTCAAAGCTTATTGTTGTTTGTACTCCTAACCTTAACTCTTCCTATGAAGACTGCCTAAAACCCAAGCTTATATCTTAATTTAAAATATTTACTTCTATTATTTTTATTTTATTTATTTATTTTGCATTTCATTACAGCTTTAACATATTCAGTAACAATTTCCAGAGCAAGGATACAACTCTTTCAAAGTGGCTGTAAATTTTTAGGTTCACAGTTGAATTAATATGGTTATACAATATTGAACTCAGTATAATTTTATGTGTATGAATGTATTTCCTGTATGTATCTAAGTGTACCCATGTCATACAATGCCTGCGGAGGTCGGTCAGAAGATGGCATCGGATCCCCTGGAACTGGAGTAATGGTCAGTTGTTAGCTGCCATGTGGGTGCTGGGAACTGAACCTAGGTCCTTTGCAAGAGCAGCCAGTGCTCTTAACCACTGAGCCATCTCTCTAGCCCCTTAATATCTGAATTTAAAAAAACAAATTATATAAAAATTCTGGAGAAATTCTACCATGATTATACACATAAGAAAGTTTTTTTATATAACTCAGTGAAAAGCAGTAATTTTTAACAGTAAAAATGTTTTTTCTTTGGTTAATGACATGTCATTATTAAATTACCTTAATTGGAGGGCAATGAGAATGGCAAAAGTCATTTATCTTCTTTTGTAATGTCAGTTTCACCTCAGTCAATACTACGCACTGTTGAGAAAAAAAGTGAAAGATTAGAAAGCACACAATTATTTTTGTAAAAATAATACAATTTCTTGGGGGCTGGCGTTAGCTCAGCAGTTAAGAACACTGACTGTTCTTGCAGAAGAACCGGGTTTGAATCTTAGCACCCACATGGCAGCTAACAACTGTCCGTAACTCCAGTTCCAGGGAATCCAACAGCCTCTTCTGTCCTCCGCAGGCATTGCATGACACAGGTGCACTTACCTACATGTAGGCAATACATGCATACACATAAAATAAAAATAATAAAATATTTTTTAAAAAATACAATTTCTTAATGAGAAGCATGTCAATTCAAATTGTGATAAATATAATTATCCTCACAAAAAATTTACTATCCTACATTATATTTTGCTCTAGGGTTAGTATCTTTAGAGTTATAAAATGGAAAAAGCAATAAAACATGGAGAAAATGTGCCCACATTAAATTCACTGACCAAGAAAGGACTAGAAACAGACCTTAATACCCTATGTGGAATTACATACTCTCCAAATGGAGAAAGCTAGATATTTGTTTTATCTGTTACTACTATCATGCAAATACTATTTCTGTTGAATAGTTTGCTCTTTGTCTAACGATAACCTCCTAAATGTGACTTGTTCATCTTTGTGGTTTGGTGGTTTACTGTACTGATATGACTTGGTCCTTTTCATTTTTCTTTTCTGTGTTTTTTCCTTTACACCTGGGTTTTATGCTTTCATGCATTTTTCATAATGCTAGGTATTTGCTTCTAGATGTAGGACTTCCTTAAGCATCTTTTGTAAGGTTGCTCTGGTGGTAATGCATTCTGTCAGTTTTTCCTTATCTTGAAATGTCATTTTCACCTTAGAAGGATAGCCTTGCTTGATATATTAATGTTAGTTGAATTATTTTCTTCTAAAACTAGGAATAGATAATTTCCTCTTGGGTGGCTTGTAAATGTTTCTGTTCAGCAACATACTGTTAAGACTACTGGAGGAAAAGGACACACAATCGTAAATACGATTCATTTTGTTTTTTTCAGCCTGCCTTTTTGGGGATCAGGAGTGGTGGTGCTGAGAATCGCCCTGGGCCTTGTACATGCTACTTAAGTACTCTAATACTGAGTTATATTGCCACCACTATCTTGTATCTTGGCAGTCTGAATACAGTATGTCAGGATCAGGGTTCTGTCTGGTTATGTCTCATGGAGTTCTATGGGTCTTTTGTACTTGGATGTTTATAACATTCCCAAGATTAGGGAAGTTTTCTGCTATAGCTTCACTGAGTAGGGATTTCTGTCCATTTCCTTTTCCTCTGGGAACCCCCAAAAGCCAAATGCTTGTTTGTTTACTGAGGTGCCAAAAGTCTTCAATGCTCTCTTCATTCTTTCCTTTTCTATTTTTGAATCTGACTATATTTCAAAGAGTCTGTCTTCAAGTTCAGGTCTTCCTCTTCTTGTTTGATTTGTTTAGCTCTTCATTTCCAAAACTTTCGATTGGTTCTTTTTCAGAATCTCTTTTTGTTGAATTTCTCATTCATCCTACAATTGTTTTCCTCAATTGTATCTCCTTGAATCTTACTGGGCTCCTTTATGACCATTGCTTTCATTTAGCAGGCATTGCATCAATAAGTTTCCTTTGGAATTTGATGATAGAGAACCTTTTCTTTTGGGAGTAACACATTACCCTATTTTATTTTTCTTATCTTGAGTTTATGAATGTTTAGACTTGTGCCTCTAGTAGATCAGTTAGCTGTATCACTTTTATGACCTTTGTAGTACGATACTATGCACTAAGGAAAAAAAAATTCTCAGTCTCTGACCCAGGACTCTTGTGTTCTCTGTCAATATTTGTGAAACATAAGAGGCTAACATATTAGACTATAAATAATATAAAATGCAAGAGTAGAGCCAACACTTTTTTTCATATTAAAAGCTTTTATTTTAATTTACTATACACATTTAAACTTTAGAAAGTTATTAAGTAGATGAAATTTCCTCTGTTTGGTTTTATCTTCCGTTACTATTTTCTGAGATCTTTCCTATAGCTTATCCCATATTGTAAAATGTGCTTGTAAGTAAGTGGGTAAAGACAGACCCTGAAATCTTGGTATGAGACTCGGCTGAGCTGGCTAAAGGTTGTGGAACGCAGATACTTCATACTGGAAACAAACACTTGTTCATAGGATTAGAGGCCCTTCACTCACATCAACAAAGTCACCAATTCTGTATAGTCTGACTATTCTGTCAGGGTTCTGAGATGTCTTCTCTTCTATAAAGTCTATTTTATACTTGTTGTGTTGAAATATATCTAATGCCACTTTTGCATCAACTTCCAGAGTTTCAAATGGAAGATCTTTATAAATTAAAGCATGAGCATCTTTTGTGAAAGAACGCAGATTCTCTTTTGTTGGCATCCACTCATCCAGTCTCTTATCTAAAACTATATCATAGCAGAAGGCTCCAACGATTACAGGAACTTCTGGTGCTCTGACCAAACTGACCACACACTCATCTTTGAATGCCCTTTCTATGACATAGCCTATCATCATGGCACAAGACTGCCAATAAACCTTATTCACGTCTCTTGGATCATGGTCTTTGAAAGTAAGAAATTTAATCTCACAGGACTTGGTCAAAGGCTTATACTTGTCCCACGGTTGTCCATCCCCAAGAGTCAGAATGGACTTCCTGCAGTACCATTCACTTAAATGCATGGCGCAACTATAAGGACCTGAAATGTTTTTATTCATCACAAACACAGTTCCAGGATGCATTTTCCCAACATGCTTAACTTCAATTTTTTCTGTTTGGGGAAATAATGATAACTGCCTGTTTTTCTCTTTATTAAAGAGCTCATTCCACATTTCTATCAGTTTGGTGGGTGACAGTTGAACAGCTGGTGGTGTCACTACAAATCTCCAGCCAATCCTGCCGCACGGGGTGGCCCATCAAAGCTGCAGCCCCCTGACTGCAGTAGCCATAGCTTCCATGGCAGGCCGAGTTCCTTAGCGCTGAGTCAACACATTTTTAATCTGAGAATGTGTGATTATGTAGACACTGAGTATTTCTTTCTTACGTTTAGCACATGTTCATGCATGTGTACGTAGATCAGAGGTCTTCCTTTATCACTCCCCATCTTTTTTTTTTGAGAGTCTCTCACTGAACCTGGAGCTCACCAATTAGGTAGGCTGGATGGCCATGAGTCATGGGGATCAGCCTACCCTCTGCTCCCCAATGCAGAGGTACAGACATGGTCTATCACATCCATATTTTACAAGAGTGATAGGGAGGTGAAATCAGTTCTTATGCTTGTATAACAAGCACTTTACTTACCAAGCTACTTCTACAGCCTGACACTGACTTCTATTGCTCTTTCTAGAAATCCAATGTCATAAAGTAAACCTTTTCATCTAAGCTTTCATTTCTTTTAATTTCTTAGACTATTTCTTATTTCTGTGTTCTACACTCTTAGTGATTTACTTCTATTTTCCAATTTTCTAATCCTTATCTAGCCACTGTTTATAAACTGAATTCTAACTTTTAAGATAAATACAATAGGAACAAATAATGCATGTTGCTAAAAACCACAGTTTTAGTTTTAATGCACATTGCTGCCAAAACTGCCAACTTACATTTAAAATACTTCTTAGAGATTTTCCTCTAAGGATACATTTAATAAGTTTTTATTTGAACGTTTTTGTTCTGCTCAATATACTAGGTTATACTAGCTACATTAATGACTTCCTTATAATCTCTCAGTAACATTTAATACATAATGGTATACTAACCTGGTATTGTTCTAAGAAGGAAAGATCTGTGATTTCATTGAGAGGAGCAGACGAAGACGAGACACGAACATAGGGATTTAGTTCTGCAATATGATGAAGTACAGCTTCTGCCCTAAAACATTAAATAATCTTTACTATTATTTCATTCAGTATAGTCAAATCAATGTCAGAAACTTTGTAATTGACATTAGAAGAACCTGACATAAAATTTTAATGAAAAGTTAATTGTAGCTAAACAAAATTTATTCATTTTCCTATATAGTATTAAGATTCACATATATTATATGACATAGCAAGTCTAATAATCCAAGTGTTTCTCAATAGTTCCAAGGTCCTTATGTCTCTTTACGACAACAACAGTACAGACTTCCTTTGGACATGGAAGTAGAAAGTGAACTATGAGAGAGCAGGAAGAGGTATAAAGGGAAGCAACAGGGGGCAACAAGAAAAAGTAATGAAATATATAAGTCAAAAAAGCAGAAGGACAGGGCTAGAGAGATGGGTCATGGTTAAAAACACTGCTGCTCCTGTAGAGGACCCAGGTTCTGTTCCCAGCACCCACAGGGCAGCTAGTAACTGTCCCTAACTACAATTCCAGGCGATCTGGCAACCTTTTCTGACCTCTGCAGGCATTACTCGACACAGGTGCACTTACATGCATGCAGGCACTACAGTTATACATTTAAAAAAAAAAAAAAAAAAAAAAGGAGGGACTGCCTAGGGGGAGAAAGAGAAGTGGAGGGAGAGAAAGGGGTAACAGGGGCGGACAGGGAATGTTTGAGGGAATAAACACAGCAATGATATGTATGTCACAATGAAATCCATTACCTTGCTTAAAATAAATTTTTTAAAGACTTTCTTTAATAATATCAAAGAAATTAATTTCTAGGTCACAGGGTAAATGTATCAAAAGCTTGGCAAAGGAAATCCATACATGACAGTATTTATTTATCTAAGGTAGTATGAACTTATGGTAGCAAAGTAAGCAACTGGTATTCAGAATACAGAAAACATCCTAAATAACATTTTAAAAAAATGTTATGACAGCATACCAAAATACATTTACCTGTTTCTTTCATTAACAACATCATCTTCACAGAGAAAGAAATTGGTCCCTAGATCCCATCCTTGGCATTTTTGTGTATCATGAATTGTAAGTGCCTTCAAAAACAAAACAGGAAAAATATTAAGATACTAAGTCCACAGTAGGATCACGATGCTCACTACCTCTAATAGTATTTACAGGGTACTGGAAGTATTACACATCAGTGAATAACAGAAAGAACTTAGCATTATAAGAATTGAAAAGGATAAAAATTACCTTTATGCAGATGATATGTCTATATATTTATACTATAACAACTTGTTGGAGAAACTATATAGTTAAAAATCTTTAAATTTATGAAAGCAACATGATATGAAAATCAACAACAAAAAAAAATACATTCGAGGCTGGAGAGATGGCTCAGCAATTAAGAGGACTGACAGCTATTGCAGAAGACCAGGGTTCAAATCCCAGCAACCACATGGTGGCTAACAACTGTCTGTAATTCCAGTTCCAGGGGATCTGATGCCCTCTTTTGTTCTTCTTGGGCAGTGCATGACATAGGTGTACTTACGTGCAGGTATTAACACTCATACATGTAAGAATAAATTGAAAAAAAAAATACAACCTCTGCTTTCCTGGGATGCATGGCCCACCAGCCTCTTTCCTGGACACCAGAGCTGACCTCTTGGCCCGGAGCAACCACTGCTTCCTGATCCCTTGCATCCAGATGGACCTAGTTCCTTCGTGAGGTCCCTGGAAGCACTCTGGGCCTGGTCCCACCCTGACCTCCCTCTGCTTCCCTGGGCCTGCATGACCCATTGGACTCTGCCCTGGGTAAGTCAATCGTACCCTCCGCACCTTGACTCCCCCAGCCTCATTCACCCTCCCATCTCCCCGGCGCATCTCTCTTCCTAGCCTGGGTGCTGTCCCATTCCTTGTCTTGGCACACCAGATACCTGGGAACTACCACTCCTTCCTGATCCTTTCCATCCGGACCAAGCCAATTCCTTCTCGGGTCCCCAGGAGCCCTCTGGTCCTGGTCCTGTCCTCACTCCCTGTTTCCCTGGGCTGGACAACCTGCCAGCCTCTTTCCTGGACACTGGGGCTGACCTTTCAGCTTCCTGATCCTTTGCATCCACACCAACCCAGTTCCTCAGTGCAGCCCCTGGGAGCCCTTGGGGCCTCTTCCCACCCCCATCTCCCTTTGCATCTTTGGGTGGCACGGCCACCAGCTGACCTAGACCAGCATGTTTCCTGGGGCCTGCTCCCAGGCAAGTCCAACGCCAAATTCCTGAGGCCAAAATCTTTCCTTGAGAGATCCAGACCTTAGCAGAAAGCCTGAGAGCATTTCATCCTCATCTGACTTAGGCCTCTGTGGGAACTCCTGAAGACAAAAGCAATCTAGACACTCCAATATAAAATCAAAAGAGAACCAGAAGCTTAGATGAACCAGCTTTTCATGCCCAAAAAGTAAACCACAAAGGCACATAAAGTTTACAAAAAGAAGCAGACCTAAACTTGAAGGCCTGAGTCTCACACAAGAAGTCAGAAACTACAAAGGAAATTCACATGTCAAAATCACAGAGAAAAAATAATAACAAGAAAAAACAAAATAACATATCCCCACCAAATACCAACAGTCCTCTAGAGTACAATGAGAACCTCTTAGAGATAATGCAGGACATGAAAATCAAAAGAACAATTATAAACATGACAAAAGAATTCAGTGAATTTAAAGAACACACAAAGAAATCAAAGAACTGAAGGAAGATAGGGATAAACTGAATGAATTCAGAAAAAAGCTGGAAATACTGAAGACTACTCAGGCTAAAATGAAGAAGAAAGTGAAACACTCAGTAAGCTAATTGGAAACAACAGGAGAAAGTCTCACTAATAGGATGAATGAAATGGAAAACAGAATATCAAGACTGGAAGATAAAGTGGACGAACTAGACCACTCAAGCAAAGATTATGAAAAATTTAAGAAAGCACAAATGCAATAGGCAGGAATTGTGTGACACCATAAAAAGACCAACCTTACGAATCATAGGCATACAGGAAGGAGAAGAATCCCAAGATAATGGCATGGACCAGATCTTTAACAGAATCATGGAAGAAAATTTCCCAAAATTAAAGAAACACATGTCCATACAAATACAAGAAGCATACAGAACACAAAAGAGACAAGACCAGAAAAGAAACTCTCCACGGCACACCACAGTAAAAACACTAAACATACAAAACAAAGAGACAATACTGAAAGCTGCAAAAGAGAAACAACAAGTCACATATAAAGGAAAACCCATTAGGATTACAGCTGATGTTTCAGTGCAAACTATGAAAGCCAGAAGAGCCTGGACCAAAGTATTCCCAGTTTTAAATGATCAGATCACAAATGCCAACGCAGATTACTATACCCAGCCAAAATGTCTATTATAGTCGAAGGGGAAAGAAAAATCTTCCATGACATAAATAGGGTGAAGGAATTCATGTCCGCAAAACCAGCCCTTCAGAGGGTTCTGGAAGC